AAATCGCGATCTCGATTCATACTTATGTGCGATCTCATTTCCAAATGACAACGATTTAAAAAAAAAAAAAAAAAGACGACGATTGTACCGCATTTTGATCCGGGACGTAATCTGCATGAAAACAAGCGCTCACTCTTCCTGCTCAACAAATGACAAGGGCGGAGCCTTATACCACGTGATACAGAAGCTGTGCCGTGTGATGCTAAAATTAGCAGGAAAAAACAACGGAGAGCACGTCAGGGATGACGAGAAAGTGACAGGAGAAAATCCGTCCCGGTCAACCACCCAAACATCAATAACGGGAACCTTATACAGCGCTTCCCTATACACGTCGAACTCCCGCAGGCACAAAGAAATTACGGAGGCTATCCGGTTGTTCAGTGATGACGCGACGAATCCTACTTCCAGGCCTAAAGTAGTCTGTGTTTAATATGGCTTTTGTGTTGTTAACATGTTTAATGTTTTGTATTTTCTTCTATTTAATCTCAAAAAGCACAGTGCCGTCCCGCAACTATTTTTCTATTGTTGCACTACCTGCTCTGTACACGCAGCGTCGAGCAACGGTGGAGACGGAATTTCAAGCAGTGCAGCATTTTGTTGTTTTTATGTTCATTTATTGTTTTTATGTTCAGTCTCAACTGTTATGACGTTGGTGTGCAGTTAATAAGTGCAATAAATATTTATACTGGAAAAGAAAATCGTGATCTCAATTCTAAACCAAAAAATCGTGATTCTCATTTTATGCAAAATCGTGCAGCCCTACCTGTGGACACCTGGAACTGCACAGTTGCTCAGAGTTGACTAGTTTGTTTGTCCCTGTGATCTAATCAAAGTAGCTCGACACTAGCTTCAACAGACAGCAGTCTGATCTAATGCTAGTGACTTTCTGGGGATCTGTCACAACAAAGCCAGGCGTGGGGTTGGTTCCTGCACATAGGTCGCTGCCACCATCAGTGGAATGTGCTGCGTACTGCAGCAGATCCTGGCGCCACAAACTGAACCAGCCTGCTGCACTGAGGAAGTGCATGCAGCTGCAGTCGTATGACGTAGCTTTTAAAATGTGTGTGTTTGAAAACATGGTGCCCCAATGAGGAAAAAGCGTTCCTGTAAAAGCTGGCTGAAGATCAGAGCTCTGCAGAGACCGTGCAGAGCTCCAGTGTCCTCTGTAGTACACAAAGCTGTGCACATGTGGACGTGCATGAGCTTGGACACACTCTAAAAGCTTGAGGGAATCGAGGTAAGTTTGAAGGCGTGCACAGCAGCCCTTATATAAGAGGAGCTGCTCGGGCTGAACAGTGTGTTCAGAATGTGACAGAGACTCTGCAGAGCTCTGGAGGACAGCACTGTGCATGTGCGTGTTTGTGCCGTGCTCATATGAACATGGAGTTTACACAACAACAAAGTGGTATGTTACTGCATGCTTTCAGACGTTTTCTTTTCATGTGGAGCTGTTGGATGCATCCCAGCAAATAGATATGCCTCCGATTTCCTGTTAGTCCTTTTTGGGGTAAAATTGTGTTACTGGATACTTAAAAGCAACAAGTAATCCTCTGAGATCGTCCAGTTTGTGCTTTGTTTTCTGTCACAGCACGAGGGCACGAGGAGAACCGCTTCAGCGTATCTATCAGTGTATATAAAACCAGGCAGGCTGCATTTGTAATGAGTCGCTCTCAGTGAATCCCAGCGTGGTGCTGTGATAGGACACTAACAAGTCCACTCGTGAAATTCCAGAGTCAACTGTTGGTGTTATCACAACAAAGTGGAAGCGGTTGGGGACGGCGGCAGCTCAGCCACAAAGCAGTAGGCCACGTCACAGAGCCCTATGCTGAGGGCCCAGTGGTCACCACAGGGCCCAAGGTCTACCAGAGCACTGAACACAGAGTGGGGCCAAGCACCTGCATCCAAGCCGTATATCAGCCAGCACAGGTCCTCTGGGTTCTAGATCAGTGGACGCTGTTCTCTGGATTGAGAACACATTGAGTCTGGGATTGGGAGTTCATACTTGGTTCCAGTGAAGGACCTCTCAATGCTTCAGCTTATAGAGACCATTCCAAGGTCCAGACACTGTGGGAGCTGGTTCTTAGTGTACTTAGTATCTGACCTGACAGATGTGCTTCTGTTAGAGTGGCTAAGAGCTCCATAAACACACTTCAAGCCTTTTCAGAGAAACTGGCTGGCTGTAGCTCCAAAGGCTGGGCCTGTGGACTCAAACTGGTGGTACGTGCATATGAATGTTTGATGCTGAGGATCAGATAATAACTGCTCTGCAGAGGTCGTCCAGTGCCAGTTCTTTGTGTATTTACATGTTCTAATGTTAATTTTGTAACATGTAGTTATGTAATTGTTTTGTCTCATATTATTCATTTGCCGTCTTGTGGGCATAATGGACTGAACATGTTTTGGCAGCATCACAGAGTAACATCACAAGTGAGCAAACAGAGGTGTGTCTCTGCCACACTGTTTGCATATCCAGTGTCAGTTGGGTCAGTAAGACTAAGGATGGTCGTCAGCCCTCATTCCCTTCATCTGTTGGAAGTCTTAATAATTCCAACGAGGAGAACATGCCTGTGGAAACCGGAAATACTCGCTGTGTTCACAATGTTGCCACATAGCTGCTTGTAGCAATGCTATTGTGCAATTGTAACAGTACAGAATATAGCATTAGAACCTGCTTCTTACAGAAAACAAAACACAGTGACAATAAACGGCTGTTCTATTCTGTTTTGTTTTGTTTTGTTCTGTTCTGTTCTGTTCTGTTCTGTCCTGTTCTATTCTGTTCTGTTCTGTTCTGTCCTGTTCTATTCTGTTCTGTCTGCTGTTCTATTCTGTTCTATTCTTTCTTATTCTGTTCTATCTGTTCTATTCTGTTCTGTTCTTTATCTGTTCTGTTCTTATTCTATTCTGTTCTGTTCTATTCTGTTTTTGTTTGTCTGTTCTGTTCTTCTGTCATTCTGTTTTCTGTTCTGTTCTGTCTGTTCTGTTCTGTTCTATTCTGTTTTGTGTTCTTTCTGTTCTGTTCTGTTCTGTTCTGTTTTCTGTTCTGTTCTTGTTCTGTTATTCTGTTCTATTATGTTTTCTATTCTGTTCTGTTCTTTTCTGTTCTTTCTTTTCTATTCTGTTTCTGTTCTGTTCTTCTGTTCTATTCTGTTTTGTTCTGTTCTGTTCTATTCTGTTTTGTTCTGTTCTGTTCTGTTCTGTTCTGTTCTGTTCTGTTCTGTTCTATTCTGTTTTGTTTTTTTTCTGTTCTATTTTGTTCTGTTCTATTCTGTTATATTCTGTTTTTTTTTTTCTGTTCTATTCTGTTTCTATTCTATTCTGTTATATTCTGTTCTGTTATATTCTGTTCTATTCTGTTCTATTCTGTTTTGTTTTTTTCTGTTCTATTTTGTTCTGTTCTGTTCTATTCTGTTCTATTCTATTCTGTTATATTCTGTTCTGTTCTATTCTGTTTTGTTTTTTTTCTGTTCTATTCTGTTCTGTTCTGTTCTATTCTATTCTGTTTTGTTTTTTTCTGTTCTATTTTGTTCTGTTCTGTTCTATTCTGTTCTATTCTATTCTGTTATATTCTGTTTTGTTCTGTTCTATTCTGTTCTGTTCTGTCTGTTCTCTGTTCTGTTCTATTCTGTTTTGTTTTTTTTCTGTTCTATTCTGTTCTATTCTATTCTGTTATATTCTATTCTGTTTTGTTTTTTTTTCTTATTCTATTCTGTTATATTCTGTTCTGTTATATTCTGTTCTATTCTGTTCTATTCTATTCTGTTTTGTTTTTTTCTGTTCTATTTTGTTCTGTTCTGTTCTATTCTGTTCTATTCTATTCTGTTATATTCTGTTCTGTTCTATTTGTTTTTTTTCTTTCTGTTCTATTCTGTTCTGTTCTGTTCTATTCTTTCTGTTTTGTTTTTGTTCTGTTCTATTCTTGTTCTTTCTATTCTGTTCTATTTCTTGTTTTTGTTTTTCTTCTGTTCTATTCTATTCTGTTCTGTTTTATTCTGTTCTATTCTATTCTGTTCTATTCTGTTCTGTTCTTTCTGTTTTGTTCTTTCTATTCTGTTCTATTCTGTTCTGTTCTATTCTGTTCTTTCTGTTCTATTCTGTTCTGTTCTGGTTCATTCTGTTTTGTTTTTTTTCTGTTCTATTTTGTTCTGTTCTGTTCTATTCTGTTTTGTTTTTTTTCTGTTCTATTCTGTTCTGTTCTATTCTCTTCTGTCCTGTTCTGCTTGCAGTCACTGGGTAAGGACCTCACGGTGTCGTGACAGTTTTCAACACATTTGCCAAATACAACAATCACTGGATTTCTTGGATTTCTTTGTTCATGATTTGCATTCTGCTGAGGCTGCTTAAAGTTTCTCAGCCCTGAACCAGTTTTCATGTGCAGTATATTGCCGAGCTCTTGTTTCTAAGGTTTTGTGTGTAATTGCTGGTACATGCACTAACTTTAAGCTTCAAACAGGCCGGTTATGTAACAGCATGTTAGCAGGACTTCATTTGTGTCAAAGCCTTTGTGAAAGCTCGTTTTTCCTGTGTTGGCTGTGAGAGTGGCACCTGTGGCTCACTCGGTGAAGTTATGTGGGGTTGCTCCTGCCTCGGGTGGAGAAATGATCTGATAAATTGCTGACGTAGCTTAACTGTGCAGCTGGGAAGAGGGCTGTGTTTTCCAAAGACACAATGCAGCTTGGTGGAAAAGCCCAACATTCTTTTATTTTGGTAGACTTCATTGTTAAAGACAAATATTCATTAACTTAACAAACGTGCACTAAAGTTTATAAAGGAGTCTTTATGGGGCTTCCATTTAAACATAAGATCTACTTCATTTACCATGTGGTAGGGACCTGGGCCGTCGGAGTGTAAGGATATCCTCCAACAATCAGGCGATCCCTGTAAGAAGCAACGACAACAGCGGAGAAAGCTCAGGCAGAACCAGGCTCAGGGAGGGGCTGTAATGTGCTGCCACCAGCTGTGGGTGAGGACAAGACAAGTACGGGAGACAGGTCAAAACATGCATTATGGGAGAGAGTGCGAGAGTGAATGAAGCTTTTTAATCAACAGCCTGATGATTGTTGAAACCTTTGACAAATGTAACCCTCCCTGATAGACGCTGCTCACAACACGGTGTTTCTTTACCTTGGCTCTAGCTCAGCAAACTGGGACTGTTGTGGAGGCCACACCAAGTTTGGATCCATTATAGTTTGAATTTGTCAATGTTTAAGTTCTCAGACATAAAAGAGCATAGTTAGTATTTGGTGTGGCTTTATTTAGCACAAACCAACTGAAACCAGTTTATGAGAAAAACAAGCCTCCTGATGATTGACCGTGACTGATGGTGCTGCACGCTGTGTTCATCTGTAGCGTCTGGAACCCCCTCAGTTCATGGCAGAGATGTTTGATCTGAGTCCATGCTGACGGTTGGAGTTTCATCTCATTTTAACCAACAAGCCCGTGATTGGTGAAGTGGTTTGTTCCCAGTTACATGCAGTGGCACAAATGTCTCTTCATGTAGTTACGTGTTTGTTACGTGTGTGACATGTTGCAGCTGTCGGCTCTGACATCCTTCCAGGACCTTGTTTTACTGCTGCTGTAAGAATACTGAAGGTGCAGTCGGCAGGTGCACCCTGCAAAGTAAACATGGAGGATTTTAAAGTTCACAATATCAGGCAGGGAGCGTTTAAATAATGTCCTCCCCTCTCTGTGCGAGGGCCAGCTGGTTTAACAGCACTATTAATAGCTGTGTATGACCTCTAGAAGCCATGTCGTCTCAGAGAGAAGAATGGCACGCATGATGACGCTGGATGAGCAACAGAAAGAAAGCCAGTAAACAGAGAGAGAGGGCGGGGCCACACAGAGGGAGCGACTGAGCTGATATTTGCCGTCGCTGGGCTGCACGCTTCTTTTTGGCCAGTTAACCTCCTGTTGGTCCACCATACGCCATAGATGGGTGATCCAGTGACCCTGGAGTCTGCCGCCTCTCCTGGTGTTACAGCAGTGCCCGCAGTGCTAGCTGCAGAAAACCAAGGTGAGGCTATCGAATACCAAGCAGCATGGCCTGGGTGGACGAGTGTTTAATACCTGCTGGAGGAGCGAGTGTTCAGTCAGTGTCCAGGTTTAACATCCAGGTGTGTTACAATGCTGTGATCCAGATGTGTGACTGAGTGAGAGCTTCTTCTAACACGTAGTCACGCCTTTGCTGCTGCTGCCTGCTGTGAGTTAGATTTACACTCCCAGCTGCAATCATGCCCACGTATGGATTAATCCAGAAACACACAAACGTCTGCAGAGGAAAAGATGATGTCACAGCACAGGTTTGATGAGTTGGGGACCTGGCATGTTTCAGGTGTGCAGAGGAAGTGTGCGAGGTTTGACCTAGCATGTAGCGGACTTTAGCACCTGTTCGTTCTCTCTGCCACCATGTTCTCACAGCGAGCGTGTCTTTGTCACTCCAAGAATAGATCCCTGGCTACACTCTACTGTCCCAGCACCACATACACAGCACTGGGACAGTAATGTCCTCAAATGATTTCAGATTATTTACACCAGGGAAATGTGACTGCTGTGGAAAATGCACCGTCAGAAATCTGAGGGAGCGAGTGATTCACAGCCTCAGGAAGAGAGAAGAACTCTGAATCTGATCGATTTACTGCAGAGCAGCAGAATCAGGCCCTGATCCACTCACACAAGCTTTCTTTGAAGGGTCAGATCTGCTGTTTGTTTCCTCTGAGTGGACACACAGTGGTGGGAGGGGTGAAAGGGCATGGTGTCCAAACACCTGAACTATGTGGTGACCTCCTGGAAACAAGGGTGGAGCTAAAATCTGCTTTTTTTTTCCCCTTTCTTTTTTTAAGCAACATTCTGGTTCACGCTGCACAGCAGCCCGCAGTGTGGGGGCCCGGCGGCGCCCAGTGTGGGCATCCTGTGGGGGTGTGTTTCCTGGGATTAAGCATGCTCAGAGTTTCAAAGTGAGGGCAGTTTATGGATGTACGTCCAAAGCTCAGACTGTCCTCAACATTTCTTTGAACACTTCGTCCTGCAGGTGTGTTCACGCCGTGCAGTTGGGCTTCATAAACACACAGGAGGACTTCAAGCTTCTCGCTGTGTTCACTGCTGTTTCGTCGCTCTCATCATTAGTCACACTTGTAACTCTAAAGTAGCATTAAGGTCAATGTACTTCAACTTCTATTTCAATGTACTGAGTGTGTAAAGGAAAAGTTTGGATGTGAGGGCCACAGCTGAACCTGACATCACGTGTGTTGTCTTTCCAGATGGTGCTAAAAGCCAGCCGTCTAACAAGAATGGGAAGAAGGCCGACTCCAGTGGCAGCAGCTTCTTCACCTGGTTCATCGTGTTGGCCCTGCTGGGCGTCTGGACGTCTGTAGCTGTGGTCTACTTTGACCTGGTTGACTATCAGGGAGTTCTTGGTGGGTACCACACACACACACACACACACACACACACACACACACACACACACACACACACACACACACACACGCCTAGAGGAACTTCCTGGGAAGGTGTGGCAGTAACCAGTTTGGCTTTTGTTGTCATCTGTCCACAGACTACGCCTAAAGTAAACCTCCACCTGCAATAAGAACCAGTCTAACTGTCGTTACCGGAGCATTAAATTCAGACCAGCAGTTATTACTAGTGAGCCTCAGTCTGCTGCTGTCTCAACACTTTAAACCAAATACTTTGGTGAACAGCCTGCCAGTCACATTAAAGCCAGTCAGATGAAATGAAGCTTGTAATGGTTGCATCTAACACAGCAGCATTTCTGTAAGTTAGCTTAAAGCTAGGTGCAGACTTTGCCTGCTGAGCCACGCGTGTAGAGGACGGCTGAAGCTGCTGCAGCCTGCCTGTCTTTGACCACAGCCGCCTGCATTAATGATAAATGGTCCATTCTTGTGTGTATGAAATGTGATTGTGTTTTATCTCTTAACCCTGTCTTTGTTACATTATGTGTGTTTTATTATTTGTTTGTTTTGCATGCAGATAAGGCTAAGGGCTTACAAATTAACCTGTCTGAAGCATTGCAAGGTAAAAACCCATAATGTATATTCTGCATATGTGAACAAAAATGACTGTTGTCACACACACTGTTTGCAGAGCCCTGAGTCGTGTAGTGTTTGGCAGGAACATCTGCAGCACTACACACATCCACAAACACTACGTATGCAGTTCAACACGCCCTTATAGTCGACCTAAACTGGCACCTCTGTGTACAGTGACATGCTTCATGTAGCACTCAGAGCCCACAGGAGTACAGGAATCAGCAGCTGTAGAGAAAGGTGGAGTGAAGGCAGCCAAGCTGCCACACAGGCTCGTCCCCAACCCTTGGTCACTAAGGACACATATGTAAGCAACAAGTTGGCTGTGGTCGGTGGAGGAGTGCACAGCCTTGCAGCGTTGGTTCCTGAGTGTGATTCAGCTGGTGTGACTGGTGTGGTCACACTGGTCTCCAGCTGCAGTGTTCATGTATGATCTAATAAACGCAGGCATCATGTAGGAGCAGTGGTTGGTAAACTGTCTTTCTCTAAAGGAAGCATTGTTACACCCATGTTTGACTTTAATACATTTGCCTTTAAAGTCATTTCTATATCATGATATACAGTTAGAATAATTACAGTAAGCACATGTTTAATGTACACGTATGAGAATTTGTCTAAGTGTGTCTAACTGTGTTTGCTGCCGCTGTAGGTAAACTGGTGGCGTACGACACAGACGGCGACGGAGATTTTGATGTCGAGGACGCAAAAGTTCTGCTAGGCAAGTTGATCAAACTACGATTCACAGCTGTTGTCTCTGTCACAACTACAACAAAAGGAATATTATCATCACAACATCTGCTTACCAGCTGTGATGGCTTTGTGTTTGTGAAGTAGACAAAATGCTAGTTTGGGTTTCTTTTGCATGGCTCACTCATTAGAAACAAGAACTCAGAGCTTCCTGTTTGGCTTTTATTCCAACATGAACGTCTGAATGGCCTCAAACACTGGCTAATGCAGTCTAAAGCTTAGCTCTCTACATGAAAAGGTAGCTGCTCGGCCAATCAGGCAGCTTGTAGAGGCTGAATGGAGGCTCGTCACCGTCGGGTATCTAAGAGGGCGTTACTGTTCTTTATTCGGTCACGCAACAGGTTCCTTTAAGGAGCTTTTGTGGTGCTCAGCCTGGACACAGGCAGCATGTGTCTGTTTCAGGAGTCATCTGTAGACACTTCAGGGTTATCTGAGTCCCTTTGTTGGGTCTCTGAGCAGCTTGGCAGATTTTGCAGCTGGTGCATAATATTCGAAGGGAATTTGGGATTTCAGCACTTTCATCATGTCAGCAGACGAACTAGATGAGTCTTAGTGCTGCTTTGGCCTCTGGAGCAGGAAAACAGTGTAAGGCAACTAAGCTGTTTCATCTTATGTGCCCGCTCCAGTCTTTTGGAAATCATAATGTATTCTGTCGTCGCTACATTGGGATAACCCATATTTAAGTTTCAGAGCATCTCCCCTGTTGCCCCCTTCACCATCCACATTTCCACTATTCTGAGACACGTTCTAATTTGTTCACTGGATTTTGAAAATGTAAGAGAACGTGGTAGTGGTGTGTGTTTGCGGGCAGGAGGGACAGAAAACACACAAGTTTAAAAAACATGTAGTTATCCCAGTTGGGCTTCATCCAGTCAGCACAGGTGCAGAGTAAAGAAGGTCAGACGCCAACTAGGGAGCCTCAGCAGGACAAACAATCCTGATGTAGCAGGTGTATCAGAGAAGATCAGGAGAGTCTTCTCCAAGCACGGCATCCCAGCGCACTTCAGACCCAGCCACGCACTCACACACAACCTGGTTCATCCCAAACACAAGCTAGCAACACAGTGTGTGCTGTGAAGTGCAGCAAGGAGTGCGCAGACCTCTGCACTGGATCCACTGCATCAATGCACTGGATCCACTGCATCAACGCAACGGAGCCGCTGCATCAATGCACTGGATCCACTGCATCAATGCACTGGAGCCACTGCATCAACGCAATGGAGCCGCTGCGTCAATGCACTGGAGCCACTGCATCAACGCAA